TTATAATTGTTTAAACTTTATATTATAACTTTTATTTTATAACTTATTTCTTTTTTATATTATATTCTTTTTTATATTTAAATTAATATCTTCATATGATTTAATATATTTTATTATATTCATTTATCACATATGTCATTTTTATATATTTTCAAATGATAAATAATTCGTTACAAATTGTGAATACAATACAGGTTGTGAATATACATTGTTCCTATTTCACTCTGCAGATTTAACTTCATTTCTTTTTTTGATAGTTTTGCTAGTGTAGCTTGAAAGAATCTTATTGTCCATAAAGATAAATCGGTTCATGTTCCAATAAGAAAAAAATAACATATTATGTATGTATCATCACATATATCTTTTTTATATTATAATTTACTGGATAAATTAAATCTGTATTCATATATTTCAGAGATAGAAAATTTAACGATATTTTAGAACAATATCGTTTCAAAATTATAATAATTTAATACATATAAAAGCAATTATATTTGTATTTATATTAAATTGTTAAAATAAATTTTTATTATTTATTGATTAAATATCTCTTTAATATTGTATAAAAATAAAATATTTTAAATTTGATAGTTTCGATTTTTAGTTCTAATTTCAATAAGTGCTATTAAACATTTGGACGATGATGTATGCACCAAATATATTTAAATTGTACAAGTAATTTAACATTAGTTAAAGTGCCAATGTGTTCAATATATTTGGCTAGTGCAGAAATAAGAGAAATTTTTCTGAAAGATAAACGAATGAACAATATATGTTTTTTTTTTAATCAAAGAATTTAATTTATCATTATCTTCAAGAATTTAATTTATTGAATAATATATTATCTAGGAAGAAATCTGAATCTTTTCTTTTGAGAATGTTTTATTCGTTTTTCTTTTAGATTAATATCCTCTTTATTTGCGCGATAGACCAACATCATTGAATTCTACTGCCTCTTTGAAAATTCCATAAATAAGCGTGAATATTCAAATATTTGAAAATCTTTTTAAAAAAAAAATCAATAATATATGTAAGCTTTGTTAACAACATCAAATATAACTTCTTCGCATTTCAACATCTTTATAGATTCTAAAGCACAGGGTAGCATAATGAGAATTTTATATTTAAATGACATTTTACTTGAGCATAAATCTAAAGAATGAAAAGTAGTATTAGATTACATTTAAATACATATATATATGTATCGTTGATAGCGACAAAATCTTCAATTCTAGCATTAGGCACATAGTCATTAATCAAATGTCTATATTTATTTATTTATTCATTATAAATTAAGCAATCTAATTATCAATTTAATTATTCAAGATATGATCATCGTTTTAAAATATTACAATATCTGTATATTTTACTTTCAAAAATATTATTTTATATTGTTTCAAACATAAAGATATACGATATCATGCAAATAGAGAAAAAAAAATGAAAGACGAGTAAAAAAAAAATCATAATAATAATAATAAAATCTCAGATCAATTTAATCAATGAAAAGAATCACTTGTTGCGTAGAAGCACATTTTTAAAAAAAATTCTATGAAATATAAAGAGTAACTATCATAAATAAATGAATATATATATATATACACACATATTATTATAAATATATGCAAATACGTATAGATATACAATTATTTAAAATATTTAATATATATATATATAATATATATCATATATACAAATCATAAATTATATTACGTGGTGAAACTTTAAATTCAATTTACCTGACGATAACAGATTCCTAAGGCCTAAATAATTATGTACGAAACGAACGAAACTTTGTTAATATGTTTAAGCGGGGCTTTCAAGCTTCGAGCTTCCAAACTATTATATGTATTTACATATATTTACGTTTAGTATTACGCGCTTTCAACGCTAGTCGCACTATTGTGTTTTTCCGTCTATTTATAATATAAACTTTAAGTGGCAAATTATTGTATACGCATACATATATAGCATATAATCACTTCGTCCACTTAATTTATATTTAACCTTCGAAGTACGTTGATAAGGTGAATCAAAAAAAAGATTGGATCAAAAATGACCCGACCAATCGATTTAAACTTATTCAATTTTCGTAATGTAATTAACTTTGTTGTCAATTAAATCGATCGAATCAAAAGTGACTTATCTATCGGGCTACGAGGGTTAAAACAAATTTATTATGTATATTAGTATCCATAATGAACATACAATCGCAATGGATTTCGATTTTTATTCGTTCAAACGTTCAAATGACTTTTAAAAAATTCTTTCTCGATAATTTCAGATCGTTAAAAAAAATTCCAGTTTAAGCCTTTAGAATTTTAAATGGGTTGTCAAATATGAATATTTTGTAGTATTTTTGTGCAATTTTTTTTTCTTACTTTAAATTGTTTAATAATAATTGTTATTAATGTAGTGTTTAAATATTTTTGGTATACATAGAATGCTTAAAATTTGATAAAAATTCAACGAGGATAATAACCCCTTAAGAATTAACTGTAAGGGTTGAAAATATTGGGAATACTTGAATTTTATTACGTAGCGAAAAGAAAAAAAGAAATTATACTTCAAATTTTAAATAGTCTTCCGATCGTCAAAATTAATCATCAACGTTTTTAATTAAGATCTTGATATTTCAGTTTAAGTTTATTGCTTGTATTTAGCATGAACAACATATTGTCAACAAAATGGGTGCTACCAAAATATTTTCGTAATAAGATTTTTCCAATATTAATGAGACTACCTATTTTTATCGAAAAATAAAATTTTATGTATATAAAATATACATTATATAATAAAATGGCTTATTAAAGCTTATAAATTTACAATTTAGATAAAATGTTAAACATTACTTTGATTACAAGTAATGAAATTTTATAATTTCAAAATAAAATAGATTCTTTCTCTTGTTTCCAATTATTGGAAAATATTCTGGTTTCTCCCATAATGAGTAACGCAGTTTCGTTTAGAATTGTAATGTCTACAGGGGAAAAGAAAGCAAAGTGTTGTGTCTAATTATAAGTTACTTCATCGCGGAAAAGAAACTGTGATAATATCTGGGCTTTTCTGTGTGAAGTAAAAGAAGTGAAGAGAGATAGCCATAATATAAAATAAATCAGTTCTGTAGAATTTGATTCTGTTACGAGATAGATCGTTAAGGAACTAATAAACGTAAAAGAACTAATGATAAAACTTAAAGAGAGAGGGAAATATCGCTGAAATCTTATTAGAAAAAATTGAATGTATAAGTAGTAAAAAGTCTGGAAGCAAAGAACCAAATATCATCATAATATTTTATTAAGAGATATTTTACGTTTATTTAAATTATCTTTTTTCTCTGAAAAACGACAAATTTGCAAGAATAAATACATATATGTATAATGTGTTTATCAAATATGAAATATATATTTCACTTTTAATTTTATTAATGATATTCTTTATAAGATAATGAATATTTTCTTTTTTTATTTGATATGATTTAGGAAAAAATTTTTTATTCGATATTTTATTATATTTATGTATAATAATAGAATAATAGAAAAAAATATTAAAGATGATAAATCATTTTTTAAAAAAATTTATATAAATATTTGATAAATATATTATATAATTTTGTATAATATTGTTTTTGCAATACAATACTGCAAAATTTATATATGTAATGTTTGAAATTAGATGATTACTTTTGTTTAGATAAATTAAAAATTCTTGTTGTATAAGTTTCATGTAAGAACTCTGTGGTATTTCATTGCCGTAAAATCGTTTCAATAAATAGAGGTCCATTGTTCCTATGTTTATTACCATATCTCATGTCCAATTAATATTGGTTTATAATTATCGCAATTCAATTAGAATTGATTTTAATATTTTTAGTTTGATTAATGACTTGAAAACAATTCGTTTGAATTTGTAATGATTAATTGTTTTATTATACTATAGATTTTTTTATTTTCAATTCTTTATAATATAGAATCGAATTAGAATAGAATGATCATATGGACGAATAATAATTTATATTTGTGATCAATGATATATTTTATACTAATAATTATTGCTTTTGCATTTATTACAATAAATCTATGATCAAGTAGTTTAGATAATTTATCATGGAATTATAATATTTAAAACATTTAGAATCAAATTAATTTCATTTAATTTGAATATGATAACGAGAATTTCAGAAAAATTTGATTCTAGGTGTTCATTTTAATTATCTATATTTATTAAAATAGAATTTCTTCTATTTTTTTTACTTGTATCTATATTTAATTAGATATTTAGAATAGATAATAAATGTAATAATTTTATGAATTTTGTCGTTTAATTAAATAGAAAATTATTTTACATTGTATATTCAACAATTATTTTATATTATTGATTGCTATTTATCTTTTTCTTTTGTTCTTATATATTTTAGTGTAGTTTTTATATTAAAGATCTCGATTTATGTGCAATATTCATGTATAATTTTTATGTTAACAATAAAGTATCAATCTTTAGAAATAACATATTTCTATATTACTTGATATAATTCCATTAAAATACACAAATTATTATTTCATATTTAATGATGATATAAATTTATCTAAATAAAATATTATATATTTTTTTATACATTTGATGAAATTATAATTTCATATTCCAAATTGAAAAAAAACATATAATTTATTCATAGAGAATATTTTTATTTTATTTTTGAAACTTTTAAAAATTGAAAAATATGAAATTTTTAAAAGTTTTTAAACAATATATTTTCTTTTCATCTTCAGATTTTTCTTCTGATAAAAATTCTTTCAATCAACTGTAAAATTGAGGTAAACGTTATTAATCAAATATATTTTATTTTATTTTATTCATTTTTTTTTTTTCGTTTATGTATATTTTTATTTCTTATGATTTATCTATAACTTTTTCATCTTTCACGATATTTTCATCTTCATATTTTATAATCGGCATTGCTATCAATTTCTGCATTTCATGATCGTTTTTGGTTGACTTACCATATTTATTCCATGGTTGCTCCTCTGCCGTTCCAAATATTAAAAATACAATAGTCCCAAGCACAGAAGCACCACCACTTATAAGAAAAACTTTTTGCCATTGCAATACGGTTTGCTGGAAAAATATATATATATAAATTAATATAAATTATCTTTCAATTTTATTTCTAGCAAGAAATAACGTTTCTTGTATATATATTATATATGTGTACATATATTATTATATATTACATATGTTATATTTCAAACATAATCAGAAATAAAAAAAATTTATAATAAGAAAAAAAAGAGAAGAGAAGAAAATTAAAAATTAAAAAGACACTATGTAAACATATATTGAAATAATATTTAAAAACTTTATTAATTCATAAAGATAATTCATGAAAGAAAAATAAAATTCATAAAGAATGAATTTTTAAACAAAGATACATTTTACTTTTATTTTCAAAAATTTTAAAGAATAGTTTTTGTTCCTTCAACCTAAATGATTGATATTTCATTTAAGAACTATATGAAATATTATAATAAAATGATTAATAAATTTTTTAATGTCTTGTTAATTAATATGTTAATTAATATAATAATCATACTTACTTTATCCACTGTCAAAAGACCGGTCACAATTGGTGGAACAAATGCAAGGCTTAATACTATCATTCCAGAAAAACCAAGATTAATACTAGCAAAATTTGGACTTAAGTCCACGAGGGTTGCTAAAGTACCAGCGGAAAGTGCGCCATTTACAGCTACTCCGGATGTCATGAAAATCGCTGCAAGTACTGGATAATATCCGCAAAAACTTAATAGGCAGACAAAAATACCTTGCATTCCAAGAGATACAAATACAGCCAATTTTCTAGTATTAGTTACGCTCATTTTCTTATTAGTTATGAGCCAATCACTAAAGACTGAATAATAATATGAGAAAACCATTCTCAATAAATGTGGAGCTCCAGAAATAATACCAGTCTGCAATTGAATTTATATTAATTACTCTTTTCTTATAGCAATATCTAAACTGTGGATATCTATACAAACTATAAAAATTTTATGAACGTAATCATACAGATAAAATTGAAATAAAATCTGTTTCGCTATTTAAATCATGTACATTGTATTTTATGCACACTATTCTATAGATTTTTGTACATTTAAATTTTCTATAAATATATAAATTTTTACAATTTGATCATCACTAATGTTTCACGAAATATTATATTAATTCAAGCATTCAAAAATTATTTTTCAGGGAAGTGATTTTGGAAATTAACAAAATATCTCTGTACCATGGTAATATTCCATCCATGAATGACGCTGAAGTAAGTTGGAACGTGCGTTAATAAGGTGAAGAGAGCCCATCCTCCACCCGTTTGTGAAATTATTACAACCCAAACTGGAATCGATGTTAATATAGATTTCCAAGGTACTTTTTTCACCTCTTCATCAACTGAATCGGCAATGCTGTCTAAAATATATTTTTTCTCTTCGTCAGATATTCGAGGATGTTGCTGAGGTGTGTCAAACGCGAAGAAGTACCAGAAGCAATACCTTTCAAATTATTTTTCAAATTTATTTTTTGTAATAAACATCATTTAACAATATTGTGGATAATATATTTTGCATATTTATCATACATAAATATTTCAATTAAAATAAAATTACCAAATGACACCGATCAACGATGTTATGTGAAAAGTGGCGCCCCAATTGAGTCCTCTAATAATTATTGCGCAAAGTGGATAAGTGATAGCAGCACCTACAGAACCACCTAAAACATGACATATTTAGAAATCCTATTATTATTTTGTCGTAATCATTTTTCAAATCTTTTTTTCAAAATTTTTCAAATTTTAATTAATATTAATTATTGAATAGTACGTATATTAAATAAATATAATAATAAAATTATTCCAGGTACTTTACCCAAATAAGAACTAACAAATCTACTTCTCTCATTTGGAGGAATCCATTTGGCAGTCATATTGTGCATAGAAGGCCACACAACACCCTAAATAAATCTTCCATAATTCCATTCTTTTAAAATATATGCATTTGTTGTTTGTATTTACTTACTGCGAAAAAACCTTGAAGAATTCGTAAAATCACAAGAATATAAAGCTGATATGTTGCAATCGGGATAATGAAGCCAATGATCGCTGGTAATAAATTTCCCATTCCAAAAACAATTTTCGTACCATAATTTCTTGCTAAAAACCCACCAGGAATTTGCGTTGTCCAATGTAACCAGAAATAAGATCCCAAAGCTAAATTCTGTTCGTTTTCGTTCCATGCAAATCGATCCTGAAAGCAAAATTAAGTTTTACTGTATAATATAATAATTCATACTTATTACATTTATAATTATTTATATTTTACATTAATAAATAAAATCAAAAAAAGAGTTCAATATTGAGAATATATTTTCACAGTGAAAAGAATGTTAAGTAAAAAAAACAATAGTTTGATATTATGCAATATGAGAATATAAAAAAAAAAATAATATAAATAACTATATTCCAATAATTTCAATATTCCAATATTCCAATAATAAATATTTTAACATATATAGAATATTGAATATTGAAAATATAAAATATACAGCTTATTAAAATATTTGAACGCTTTTTCATTTTTTAATTTATTATTATTGAATTGTTAATGATAATTTCTTAAATTTAAGTTTAACATAATTATACAAAAAAAAGGAAAATTTTAAATTACAGAGAGTTCAGAATTTAGTGCACTTTATTATTTAGTATTCATTTTATAACAAAAATTTTCATGCAAAATTGTATTCAAAATATAAAAACTGAAATTTTGAAAATTTATTTCATTTCTTTAAAAAGATTTTTCATCAACAAAAAAAATTTCTTCATATTCAATCATTCCTTCATTATGTTTTGTACACAAATTTTTATTTAAATCAAAATATTTAGATTAGATGAATTTTTCTATAAAATAATATTGAAATATTTTTATTAATCATATGTTAATACAAAAAAATATAAAAATATACTTACTTCATATTTCAAAATTGAAATATTCGAAGGTGTGGTTACACCATTATTTCCAGGTGTTTCAGGAGGTATTACCATTGACACAATTGTCAAGTGCAAGTTTAATCTCAACATATAATTGATGGCGAAACCACAAAAAACGAGGTACCAAAGCACATCCCGACATGTAAAAAATTCTCTTCCTTGAAGATATTTAATTTTAAACATAATAATTTCTTTAAAAAAATCAACAAATTTTGTCATTATTTATGTTATTATGAATTATTATTTAGAAATTATTTCTATGCACAACATGATAATATGATAATATTATAATGTTTATAATTAATATATAATATAAATGGGAAATAACATAAGATATTTGAAATAAAAAGATCATAGAATAGAGATAATTTAAAAATCTAAAGTTTGTAGCTTGGCCAAAAAGCAAATATTAAATTGTAACAGTATATAAAATTTTGTACATCATTTGTAATATCATTTATTGAACGATAATAAGACTCTTTATATTTTATTTTATAATGTTTAAATAGAGAATTTAGCATCAATTAAAAACGATGGTATTATTTGTTATTCAATTATATATAATTAAAAAAAATGCAATGTATTCACTATTAATATTAGATTACATTATAATCTAAAAAT